AGCGCTGTGGCGTAGCGGGTAAAGCTGCTACTTGCAGCACCAGCATCCCGTATGGGCACCAGTTTGGGTCCCGGCTGCTCCACTTCCGATCCAGCCCTCTTCTACGGCCTGGGAGAGCAGTAGAAGATGGCCCAAGTCCTTGGGCCCCTGCACCCGCATGGGAAGACCCAGAGGAAGCTCCTGGCTCCTGGCTTCAGATCAGCGCAGCTGCTGCTGCGGCCATCTGGGGAGTGAACCCGTAGATGGAAGATCCCTCTCTCTGCCTCTGCCTCTCTGTAACTCTGTCTTTCAAATCAATAAATCAGAAAGAAGGAAAGGAAGGAGGGAGGGAGGGAGGGAGGAGAAAGAGTGACAGAGGCAGAGGGAGAGAGAGATCTTCCATCTGCTGGTTCATTCCCCGAATGGCCTTGATGGTCAGGACTTGGCCAGGCCAAAGCCAGAAGCAGGAACTCCACCTGGGTCTGCCATGTGGGTGGAAGGAGCCAAAGCACTTGAACCATCTTCCGTTGCTTTCTCAGGCACATTAGCAGGGAGCTGGCTTGGAAGCGAAGTAGTCAGGACTCAAACCAGTGCTCTGAAATGGGATGCTGAATGTAAGCAGCAGCTTACCCTGCTGTGCCACGACACGGCCCCCAGACAGCAGATCTCACAGGCTCCATGGGCCAGACACTCTCTGTTGCAATTGTTTGACTCTGCTTGTACCCAAAGCAGCCACAGATAGTATGTAAATGAACGGACAGGGTTGTGGTTCAATAAAACTTGGTTGATTTAAAAATAAGTGGTGGGCTAGATTCAGCCTACAGGTCAAGGTTTGCTGAAACCTGCTATGGAGGATTTAAAAAAAATTATTTATTTATTTGAAAGAGTTACAGAGAGAGAGAGAGAGAGAGAGAGAGGTGTTTCATCTGCTGGCTCATTCTCCAGATGGCCGCAATAGCCGGAGCTGTGCTGATCCGAAGCCAGGAGCCAGGAGCTTCCTTCCGGTCTCCCATATGGGTGCAGGGGCCCAAGGACTTGGGCCATCTTCTACTGCTTTCCCAGGCAATAGCAGAGAGCTGTTTTGGAAGTGGAGCAGCTGGGACTCAAACTGGCACCCAGATGGGATGCCAGCACTGGAGGTGGCAGCTTTACCCGCTACACCACAGCGCCGGCCCTGGTGTGGAAGGATTTTAACAGGAGTCAGAGTTGCACAATACATTGAAGGTGTCCAAGACATAATCCAAAATGACTCAACAAAGACATGGGAACAGGTGACCAATTTTAATGGGAAAAGACGATCAAGAGGTGCCAACCCCAAGATGACTCAGAGGCTGGGTTTATCAAAGACTTAAGGCAGCTATTACAACCTAGAGGAAAAAGCAAGCATGCTGTACATGACGGGAAAGAGAGGAGCTCTCGGCGGAGAAGGAGACACTATGAAAGAGAGTACACAAGAACGTCAGAACCTACAGACACAAAGTCTGAAATAAAAATTCCTGGGATGGGCTTAATTGCCAAGTGGAAACCATGGAAGAAGGAGTTGATACCTTAGAAGACAGACAGAGAGAAGTGGTCTGATCTGAAGAGCAGTGCGCCCTCCCCTGCGAGGAGCATCTATGCCCTGGGGGTGCCCTTCAGGGTAGCCCCTCCCTCTGTAGGGGAAGCGTCCTGATGGCCTTGCGGAACCCGGGGACACACCCAGCCGTGTTGACCCGCGTGCACACTGCCCGTGTGTGCACATTGGCTGCTTGCTATTTAATGCCTCGCACTCTGCCACAGTGGTGTGCATTCCTGCCGCCATTGGCCACTCCAGCAGTAGAACAAGCCCGTGTCTTCCAGTCAGCCTGCGGGGCTGTGTCTCTGGAACAGGCGAGCACTATGCCTGTGTCCTCTTGAAGCTGGGGCTCCTGTAGCATGACAAATAGAAAAAAAAGACTGCAATAATGATCCCGAGAAAATGACCCATAGTCTCAGGGATGGAAGTTCTAACATTCCTGATTTTGGAGTCCTGGGGGAGGGGCAAGAGGTTGGTGTAGAAAAAAAGATTTAAAGAAATATTCTCAAATTTGGTGAAAGACATAAAACTACAGATTCAAGAAACTCAGTGAATCCCAAACAGGACGAATGCATCTGACCGGGGAAGAAATCAGTCTCTCCCGTCCTCTCACCCAACACAGGTGATTCTGATGCCACATGTGCGCATGTGTGGGGGCTTCTCCCCAGCAGCAAGCAAGCGATCAGGATCTCCAGCTACTTCTCAGAAAAACCGTGGCTCCCCCGGGACCCTGGGGTGGTGAGAGTGCATAGTCCCCACAGTGCAGACACCAGGGGACTCACACACCGCTGGCAGTCCGAGGGCACTGGTAGGACACAAACTCACGCAGCACAGGAGGCCAACTAGGAAGTCAGTCTCTCAACCTTAATGGAGGTGTCTTGCCTTCCCTTTTCATATTTTAACTGATACTGTGGGTTACCTGTGGCTGGTCTTGTGAGTGAAGACAGACACTTATTCCAAGGCACATCCTTGCCCAGGTCTCTAACAGTCTAGGATCCTAAGAAACCCAGAAGGGCAAAGAATATCAAGTCTATGCAAATAAGACTCAAAGACCCCACCTCTTACCCTGGTAAAGGACAACATTCCATTCGACCCAAGGGCAAAGGGGACCTACAGATCATAATCCCAGTGTTCTTCTATGGGCTTATGAAGCCTTGTTAGCTGCTTGTAACTCACTTGTTCTACCCTTAAAGAAACCAAATGGGGGATACAGACTTGTGCAGGATCTGAGAATAAGTGAGAGTGTGACCCCTATACACATGGTATGTCTTCCTCCGCCACCCTATTCCTGTTTATTTTTTTTTATTATTAAAGATTTATTTATTTGAAAGAGTTACAGAGAGGCAGAGGCAGAGAGAGAGAGAGAGAGAGAGAGAGAGAGAGAGAGGTCTTCCATCTGCTGGATCACTCCCCAAATGGCCCCAACAGCCAGAACTGGGCCAATCTGAAGCCAGGAGCCAGGAACTTCCTCCAGGTCTCCCATGCGGGTGCAGGGGCCCAAGGACTTGGGCCATCTTCTACTTTCCCAGGCCATAGCAGACAGCTGGATCAGAAGTGGAGCAGCTGGGGCCGGTGCCGCAGCTCACTAGGCTAATCCTCCACCTGCAGCGCCAGCACACAGGGTTCTAGTCCTGGTTGGGGCGCTGGATTCTGTCCTGGTTGCTCCTCTTCCAGCTGCAGTGCGCCTGCTGCAGCGGCCATTGGAGGGTGAACCAACGGTAAAAGGAAGACCTTTCTCTCTGTCTCTCTCGCTCTCACTTCTAAAAAAAGAAGTGGAGCAGCCGGCACTTGAACCAGCGCCTCCATAGGATGCCAGCACTGCAGGCGGCAGCTTTACCTGCTATGCCACTGTGCCAGCCCTCCATTCCTGTTTCTTAAGTGTAACGCCTCTTCCAGGTCCTCCCTCAAGAGAGAGAATCACAATGATGCAACTGTTGAGGTTTCCTTACAAATACACTTAGGCCAATTCCTTCTTGCCCATGCACTCTGAACTGCACTTGATGGCTTCCCTTGGGTTGGAGCAATCCAGTGTTCTCTCTGGAGGGGTGACTCACCCTTTGTTTTCCCACTACCACCTGCTATAGTGAAACCTATGGAGGCCTGACAGATGGCAGCAATGACCAAGGGTCTGTGGGAAGGCCGCTCTCTTCCTGCCGCAGATTTAATAACTTACCTGGGTAGACCAGATGGGGAGACTTGGAAACACCAATGCATTGACAAATATCAACATCGGGGTGAATATTCAGTGGGAAACTGGGCTCCAAAAGGTGTCTCTCTCCTCCAAACATCAATGCTGACCTGCAAGAAGTGGGCCATTGGGCTGATCTTTGCAGGCAAGAGGGCAGCTATTGGATAGGCCGCTTCTAGGGGGAGGCTATGCTTACCCTTAGGAAGTGTAGAAAAAAACCCCAATCTCACTCTGGCTAGGAGGGATCTGGCCCAAACCACAGGCAATACTCATGTCACCTACAGACCTGTCTTGGCCCTGGCAGGTTTGGTTCTTGATAAAAAAACTTGGCCTTGAATGATAGTTGAACAAGGTGGAATATTCACTGTAATCAACAAAATCTGCTGTACCTGCATGAACTGCTCAGGCACAGTGGAATTAGATATTAAGAAAATTTATGACCAAACTAAATGGTTACACTCCTTTGGACAAGGAGCGCCAACAGTTAACTCCATCTGGCAAGCGGTGAAGGCTGCCCTTCCAGGCATCCTCTCCTAGGACCCCTAATGGCTGGAATCCCATTACAGGTTTTCAGGCCAGGTCTGCTCAACCTACTTGATGAGTTTGTCTCCTCTAGAACTCAGCAATAACATGGCAAGATGATGACCATGCATGGATTCCAACCATGGGCAACTGAGCCAGACCTGGCTCCTCACTCAACGGTTCGCCACGGGGACCCCTAGATCAGGTGTCCAGAGAATTCCATGCCTTGGATGACCGGTCCATACACAGCACTGCAGACCTTCCCCCTCATCAACCCCTTAAGATGAAGGGCTGGAACTCCCCCAGGCATAGCTCCTGTAACCTCAAGGCCTACAAGATCTGGGTCTGGTTCCTCTTGTTCTGAGGATAAATGGATTCTCTTTCTGGACCAGGTTCATACCAGGCTAGGTGGCCAAGGCTGATCTAGATTGTACGTTCACTGTAATACATCAGCATGCTGAATGACACACCTACCAGCTGCCACGACAGGAGACGCTGGACCATGTGGGGAGTGCGACAGAGTGGCAGCTGGATTCCAGGACATCCCTGTCTGCTTCCCAGGAAAGCCATGACTATTCTGCCCCTTTATTAGAAGGTAGCTCCTCATTCATTAAACGAGCCATTTAATGTGAAACACGGTTTGGCAGTGGAGCCACTGCTTCCCCTCCCCCCAGGGAGTCTACAACTCTTTGGAGCGTGTACTTTTGCCTTCTCAATACAACACTTACTGCTTGCTATTTTTCATTCTCCAATTAGCTCCTGAACTTTTCCTGGAGGCAACAGCAAGAACCTGGGTATCTGGCAGTGAGCACTTGCTGTCTGGGGCCAGTATCATCTCACCCCACACAAAAGAAGGGTGAGTATAATGCAATATGCTAATCTGAAAAAACCATATTGACATAAGTAACCTTTATTATAGCATATTTTTATATATATATTTTTTAGTTATTACTGCTAATATCCCATGAGCTCAGTTTATAACTTACACCATCTCATAGGTGTGAATGTATTGGAGAAAACATGGTATATGTTGGGTTTAGTGCTGTCTGTGGTTTCAGCCAGCCCCATCACCATCAAGGGATGTTGGAACACTCCCCTGCTGGGGTAAGAGAGGACAGTTGTACCACATTTTGGCTATCTGTCCACGGATATGAGGACTGCCTGCTCCTTTTGACTGTCCTGACTAATGCTGCCATGACCATGTGTGCGCAAATATTTCTTTGAGATCTGCCTTTCAATTCTTTGGGTTATGCCTGTTACAGAACAACCGCCAAAACTGGCTGCTTGCCCAATGCTCAGAAAGCCGATGGCTGAACTGAGGTGGTGGCAGAAGGATTTATTGCAAAGCACAGAACAGAGAGCTGGGCAGCCATGGCTTAGCTCCCGGGCTCCCCAAGGGGTGAGGGTCAAGGTTCCTACAGACCGCAGCTGGGACTGAGTGCTGCATGTTCGGCTCATGTCCAGGTTCCTGGCTGCTCCGCAGTGCCTGCGCCGCTCCCTTGATGGGTCAGCAATATTGTGTCCTTTAGGGAACTCCGATGATGGTCAGTCTAGGGGCCACCTGAAGGTGGTGTTACTTTTTGCTCAGGGCCTGGGATTTCTGGAAAGGAAATTCCTGAAGACAAGACTAAATGTCAAGATGTCATCTATAGGGAAATAAATGATCTCACAGGTCCAGTCGGTAGAACCTTACACTGGTGGTGAGCAGGGGCTTTGTAGGGCTGGCTTACCACCCCCTCAATTCGGTGAGTTCATTTTATTTTTAAAGATTTGTTTATTTATTTTAAAGGCAGAGTTACAGAGAGGCAGAGGTGAAGAGAGAGAGAGAGAGAGAGAGAGAGAGGTCTTCCATCCACTGGATCACTCACCAAATGGCTGCAATGGCCAGAGCTGTGCCGATGCGAAGCCAGGAGCCAAGAGCTTCTTCTGGGTTTCCCATATGGGTGCAGGGGCCCAAGAACTTGGGCCATCCTCCACTGTTTTCCCAGGCCATAGCAGAGAACTGGATCAGAAGTGGAGCAGCCGGGTCTCAAACCATTGCCCATATGGGATGCCAGCATGGCATGTGATACTGTGAAATGGGTACTTGGTCTTCACCTCATTTCCAGGCTTGCAACTCCTGAAATCCTTAGAATCCTCAGGGCGTTGGTCTTTTGTGTACTACAGAGCTGAGGGCTGAGCACTGGAGACATCAAGGCAGGCTTGGAGGGTGGGACTTCCAGCCTTACACTCAGTCTGGGGCTGGGGAGAGGTTGAAGGTTGTCAATGCAATGGTCACTGACTTAACTAACGGTGCCTTAGTAATGCAGGCTCCACAGAGGCCCCAAAGCACGGGGCTCTGGAGGGGGCACGGGAGCCCCACACCTTGCCCTGGGCAACCTTGCACGTGGCCTTCACAGTGAGCCAGTGAACATGGAGCAAGTGCCTACCTTCCCCCCGGCACCATGAGCTGCTGGCGCAGGTGAGTGGAAGCTCGAAGAGGCGTGGTGGAACTGTGGGGCACAGTGGGCCAGTCAGAAGCACAGGTTAGACACCCAGGGCTTGCTATTGGCATCTGAAGTGGGATTGGGGGCAATCTTGGAGGCGGAGCCCACCCACTGTGGGATCTGATGCGGTCTCCAGTGTCAGAACTGAATTGGACTGGAGGATGCCCAGCTGGTGTCCACCCCAACCCCCGCCCAGACCTGACTACTTGTTTGCTGCTGGGGAGAAATCCCCACCCACATGGCATCAGAATCATCTATGCTGGTGGTGAGAGGACAGGAGAGACCAAGTTTGGTTTTCCCTATATCCTATCCCTAAACATCGGAATGGTATTTGACCTTTACAGAAGGGGGCGATTCCGACCCAGGTTATGCCTTAGAAGAAGCTGGGGAACATTAGGCTGAGTAAAATAAGCCCGTCACCAACAGACAAATACTGTGTGACTGCATTTATAGGGAGGACCTGGGACAGTCAAGTTCAGGGACAGAAAGTGGCACAGTGGTTGCCAGGGGCTGGGGGCAGAGGGGAAGTGCGAGCTGTTGCGTCATGGCGAGAAAGGGTCAGCTTTGCAAGACAAAGGCTTCTGCAGACATTACTAAGGTGCAGGCCAGGCTTCGGCACGGTGTTTAAGTCTCCTGCACCCCATATCGGAGTGCCTGGCTTAACTCCCAGCTCCTCTGCTTCTGATCCAGCTCCCTGCTAATGAACAGCATTTGACAGCTCAACTGGTTGAGCCCCTGCTTCCCCTGTAGGGGACCCAGATTTAGTTCCAAGTTCCTGGCTTCAGCCTGGCCCAGCTCTGGGTGTTGTGAACCAACAGATGGAAGGCCTTTGTCTCTCTGCCTCTCCTCTCCTCTCCTCTCCTCTCCTCTCCTCTCCTCTCCTCTCCTCTCCTCTCCTCTCCTCTCCTCTCCTCTCCTCTCCTCTCCCCTCCTCTCACCTCCCCTCCCTCCCCCTCCCCTCCCCTCCCCTCCCCTCCCCTCCCCCTCCCCTCCCCTCCCCTTTCCTTTCCTTTCCTTTCCTTTCCTTTCTTTTTTTAGTTTTGACAGGCAGAGTGGACAGTGAGAGAGAGATAGAGAAAGGTCTTCCTTCTCCGTTGGTTCACCCTGCAATGGCCACTGTGGCCGGTGTGCTGCAGCCGGCGCACCGCGCTGATCTGAAGCCAGGAGCCAGGTACTTATCCTGGTCTCCGCGGGTGCAGGGCCCAAGTACTTGGGCCATCCTCCACTGCACTCCCAGGCCACAGCAGAAAGCTGGACTGGAAGAGGAGCGACTGGGACAGAATCCGGCGCCCCGACCGGAACTAGAACCCGGTGTGCCGGCGCCGCATGGCGGAGGATTAGCCTAGTGAGCCACGGCGCCAGCCTTTGCCTTTCAAATAAAATGAAATGAACTTTAAAAATTTTAAAATAATCAAGCTGGTACACTTCATGGTAGATACATTTTATCACAGTTTTTTTCTTTAAAAAGTCTGAGAAAAACAACAAATGGAATAGAAACAATGACTTCGATGACTATGGGCTTAGCAGAAATCATGGAAGAAAGAAGTGGAGTGGCATCTTTATAAAGAGCCAAGAAAAAAAGTAACCAGAGGCAAGGAATTCAGGAACCAGCCACATAAAGACGCTATCACACGGTGACAGCTGGGAGAATGCTGGCCGCCCGATGGCCCGCCGGAAGGAAAGAGCTCCACAGGAGCCAACTTGGAACTGAAGGAGGGAGTGAAACGTAATTGGTCGCTGTCACCTCCTCAGTGCTGTAAGCATTCGCGTGGTCACTGAGGACAAAACTGTAGAGGATCTGGTGCGGTTTCTCAGAGGACGGAGACGTCATTCACACGGCGGCCCCAGCATCCATGGAGATGGCCGCGAGGCTTCCACACTGGACTTGAGGGGATAAGCCAGCAAGTTTAAACAGAGCATGCATGGTCCGCTGGCATCCTTAGAGCAACCTCTTAAAAAAGCCCAGCCCAAAGGCAACCGACAGAACATTCAAATCATTCAAAAAGGATTCCGCTGAACAGAAAAACAGAAAGAAAACAAAACGGTAGAAATAAATCTAATCCTATTTACAATCTTTGTATATGGCCTAAATGAGCCATGAAAACAAGGGATTGTTACACTGGAGGGGGGAACAAGACCCAACTGTATCCTTTCTTTAAGAAATTCACATTAAATACAGAGACACAGATAGGTGAGAAGTAAAGTGTGGAGACCAGTGGCTTGAAGAGCAGCTCTGGGTTTTCCTCCTTGGGGTACCTGCGAGGAGGGACAAGTGATGTGGGGCTGTCCTTGAGCCATCATGCTCCGACCCTACAGGCAAAGGCAGCCGAGGGGCTGGCTCCCCACCCCCACCACCGCTGTCACTTCTGGGAGAGGCTGTCACACTCACCCCCTGCGGAGCCATGGACAAGGGGTCTCCTTGCTTCCAAGCTTACTCAGCCTTTGCTGAAATAAGGAGGGGGGGCTTCCTCGGGGTGTGGGCTCGTGGCAATGGACTCTGTGCTCTGTGCTTCGGCGTGGAGCTCATCTTTTTCATCATGAACCTGAAGTCATCACCTGTGTGCGTAGGCGGCTTCCCAAACTCTCCAACCAGGAAGTGAGGGTTGGAAGTCCTGAGAGAGGTATGAGGGGCTCAGTTTCTGGGGCTCTGTTCCTGCCCCTATCCTCGGAGCTTCACACGTGCAAAACCCAGCCATGCGCTGGCAACCAGAGGCTGTTGCCTGGAGCAGCAGAAGAGGTTACAGTTCGAACATCCGTGCCCGATCTTTTCACAGATGAATGAAAACAGAGGTCAGGCCTATTTAAGCACAACTGTAGACATTGCGATTGCATATATATCAGACACCATGCAGGCCAGTCTATGCCGGAATTAGTTTCAAGGATTTCACCAACTGTCCAGTCATGAGCAAACGCTATTTTAGAAAACGCCCGACTTCAAAGCCGAATTTGTGAATGAAGACTAGCTCATGTTACTTTCAGCCTCAGGGAGTTAGTGGCCTCGGATATGGATAATGTTAAGTAGAAATAATGTCCATGTTTCAAGGCAAAGGTTAAGTTACAAAGTCGCCTGCAACTTGTCACTTGCATTTCAAAGTCAGCTTTCCCTGGGAAAGTTCTGTCTTCCCAGATTTCAACTGGAAACATTGCTCCCCACGCCCTCGCGTCTGTTTTCCTCTTCCCCCACAGGAACAGAACCCTCATTTTCAGCCGGGGTATTGTGGTTGCCTGGAATGCACCTCCCCTTGAACCTGCAGTGACCTACTGGAGGCTACTTCTGCCCAGTGCATTGCAGGAGGAAACACGACAGGGCGGCGTCCTCACACCTTCCTTCAAACACCGCCGTGGGCCGTGGGACAGCCACTGCAGGCACAGTGGGTTAAGCTGCTGCTTGGGACGTCTGCATCCCGTATCAGTATGCCTGGCTCGAGTCCCGGCTACTTCAAGCTTCTGTTTCAACTCGCTGCTAGTGTGCCCAGACAGCTCATGTACTTGGGCCCCTGCCACCCACACGGGTGACTCCTGGCTTCAGCCTGGCACAATCCTGGCTGTTGTGGGTATTTGGAAAGTGAACCAGTGGATAGGAAACCTGTCTCTCCAGGCCGGTGTTGTGGGATAGTGGGTTAAGCCACCTCTTGCGATGCTGGCATGCCATAGGGGTGCCAGTTCGAGTCCTGGCTATTCCACTTCCCACCCAGCTCTCTTGCTAATGTGCCTGGGAAAGCAGTGGAAGATGACCCAAGCCCTTGGTCTCCTGTACCCATGTGGGAGACCTGGAAGAAGCTCCTGGCTCTAGTGTTGCAGTCATTTGGGGAGCGAACCAGGGGATGGAAGGAAGATCTGTCTCCCTCTCTGTAACTTTCAAATATATAATCTTTTTAAAAAATCACTGGTGGTGCATTTGCCCCTTCTTCTTGGTCCCCTCTTTAATCCATCCTGTTGCTGGGAAAGTGGGTATAAAAACAGCTGGGGTTACCATCCTGATCACGAAGACTGAGGAAGGATGCCGGGGCAGGCGGCCAGGCTCCCAAGGGCTGCGTGAATCACATCAGCACACCAGCCCTAGGTTTTCCACTTCTGAGCGTCATCAAGTGTAAGCCATTGTTATTTTTGGTTTCTGACACGTGACTGAATTTAATCCTTATTTGGGTCCTAACAACTGAAACCAAGAAACTCTCCCAGATGAGCCCTGGGGGAGCAGGCGTCTGGCACAGCGGATGGGACACTGCTCGGCACCTGCAGCCCATCCGAGTGCCTGGGTTAGAGACCAGCTCCACTCCAGACTTCAGCTTCCTCCTCATGCGCATCCTGGGAGGCAGCAGGGATGGCTCTAGTGGTTGGGTCCCTGCCACGCAGGAGGACCCGGATTGAGTTCCTGGCTCCTGGCTTTCACCTGGCCCAGTCTGGGGTTACTGTGGGCAGTTGCGGAGTGACTCGGAGGATGGAAGATTGCTGTATCTGTCTTTCAAATAAATTAATAAATTAAAGAACTTTAGAAATGAGCCCTTTGAAAAATGAAGTAGGAAGAAGTTTGTTTTGTATTAAGGAAATGGCCGCGCCAAGCGCTCATCTCCAGCAGGGCGCACAAAGGCCCTCTGTCAGTGGTGAGGGACCCTGGCCCACACTTCGCCGAGCAGGCGTCGCACCGAGTGGCCACTGGCATCCTCTGGCTGAGGCCCTGCTTGCCCGACTGAAACCTGGCCCTGTACTTACCAGGAGGAACAAGAAAAACTCGAGAAAAGGAGACCACAGGGGTTATGTGAATTGGCGAGAGAGAAAGCAGCAGATAGAGGAGGAAATACACTATTTATTTACAGTTCTTTCACTTTATCCACAATTTCCCATACAAACATGAAAACTAAAAAAATAAAACCACCACTTGGGAACACAAGTGTCTGTCTCTTGTCAGTGTCGGGAGGGCGGGCCGCAGCCCTCCCACTGTGTGGAGGGGACTACTGAGGCCCACTGACGGGCAGAGGAAGAGGGCTGGGGACAAAGAACGCCTGAGAAACAGCTCCGGAGGACCTGACCCTTCCCAGCGGGCTGTGGGCGGGGGCGAGGCAGGCTCCATTGGCAGAGAGACTTGAGGGTGGTGCCCACTGGGGACGCTGCTCGGCTTCAGGAGGGTGACAGGTGGTGGCCAACCTCCCACCACCAGAAACCAAATGGGGTCACGAGCTGTGTGGGGTGTGATGGCGGCGGCAGGGGACACGGAACGCCGCTCTCTGAGAAGAGCCCCCGGCCCAGGGACACGGGCAGCCTTTGCCTTGGCACTGACTGGTCAGCACAGCTTCTGCCCTGAATTCCACGCTGACCTAAACGTGTGAGGTCGAAGGCGCTCTGCAGATCCTGAGGGAGGGGCAGGGACCAAATACTTGCAAAAAGGGCTTCTGCCCCCACAGTCCGTTCTAGGGGAGGCTGCTGGGGGACAGGTGGGGGCTCTGTGTGCTGCGGGGGGAGGGCAGGGCAGTGCTCCAGCAAGGCCTGGGACGGGTGGGAAGGAAGGGGAGGAGAGAAACAGAGACTGAGGCTTGGAGGGCTGCTGCTGGCTCCCAGGCACGGCCACACTCCGGCTGGCAGCACCCCCGCGGCGCCTCGGTGCAGGGCATCCTGACACCCAGCTGGGGGCGCGGCAGCCCCGCGGGCACCTGCCTCTGTGCCAGCGACCTACACTGCGTCCACATGTTGATGCACATTATAAATATAAAATCATATCTGCTACAAAGAGGACATATATTTGTACATCTTTACCCATATACATAATAACACAATTTACACATAATATCTTGGAGTGGGTCATCATGGAAAAAGGTTGAGAGGGAAAGAGCCCCTTCTCCCTCCCGCCCTGATCCTTCTCAAGGGCCGCTCGGCCGCTGGGCCCTGGGGCCCCTCCCAGCTGGGGCGGTCGGGCTGGAGGGGACGTGGAAATTCATCCGTGTAACTAGATGCGGAGGGCGTGTGCGCACACAGACGTCTGGTGAGGAAGGAGGAACAGAACTCCTAGCTCTGGGGTGCCGGCCTCCCTCCTCTGGGAACCACAGTCTAGCAGGCTGCCCCTCACTGGCTCAGACTAGGCAGAAGGGGAAGGGCTAGGAAACCAGGGAGAGGGATGAGGGCCAGGAGACTTGAAAACATAGGTGTTTTTGACCTGTGATCAAATCAAACTAAGTCACAAAAAGCAACAGTATCAGTTGGGGCCTGGAGGCAGAGACATAGCCAGCCCTGGTAGGGACAATGTGAATGGGGACCCTGAGCCTTCCCCTTCTTTTGTCCAGTTTGTTTTGAAGGGGCAGACAACCCTGTACCTCTTCTTCTGTCCTCTCCCAGAGCTGGGCCCATCCGCACAGCATGGAATACTGACAGTGGTCCAAGAGACGCATCCAGAGACTTGGAGTGCTGGATGCCAACAAGTTAAGACCTGGGCGGTGGGTGTGAGCTTTGTACAGCACGAGTGGTTCCTGGCCGGGGTCCGCGGCTCGCACAGTGGCCACAGTGATCAGATTGCCATCACTGATGGGGCAGTCTGGGTCCCCAGGGAGACAGCACCTATCGGCGGTAGTGATTGGGGGCGTCGGCAAACATGTACTTGAGTCTGTAGGCCTCGGCGAGCAGCAGCCCGATCTCTTCGTTGCCCCAGTGTATCGTGGGCAGGTTCTGCAGCAGCATGAGCAGCCCCTGGAATACGAGAAAGGACTTTCACACCAACCCACACTGCAGACCGAGGCCTGGCATGGGGCCCTGCCTGCCGGCTCAGACTCCCAAAGGCTCTCCCCTTCCTCGGCACCCTAGGCTCTAGCTCGCCTCAGGAACACTCTGAATGCTTTGGTCAGTTCTCTGGTTCACTAACACCTGCCTCTTTAAAAATAGCAGAGACAGAAAGATTGGGAGAGAGTGAGCGAGCTATCTTCAATCCACTGGTTCAACAAAGTACAACAGCCCAAAGTACAACAGCCAACAAGGCTGGGCCTGGCCAAAGCCAGGAGCCAGGAATTTAGTCTGGGTCTCCCACATGGGCGACAGGGACCCAAGTACTGGGGCATCATCTGCTGCCTCTCAGGTGCATCAGCAGGAAGCTGGACTGGAAGCAGAGCAGCCAGGACTTGAACCAGATTCTCTGAGATGGAATATGAGCAGACCAAGCAGTGGCTGACCCTGCTGTGCCACAGTGCCTGCCCCAACAATAAAGATTTTTAAAAGAATTTCTTGTCATCCAAACATACCTCTCTTAATTTTCAAGTATGTATTTTCAGTCTTTTTCTGTGCATTCTTTCTTTCAGTAGATATAATCGTAACTACTGACTTAGTACGTGCTTTAATCATCACTTGGTACTACAACTTTCATGTTTTTCCACAACAGCCTTCAAACATGATTATTCTTGGGGCAGGAACTGGCCCGGCAGTTAAGACACCGGGAGTACCTGGATTCGAGTCCCAGCTGCACTCCCCCATCCAGCTTCGTGCTAACGCAGACCCCGGGAGACAGGAGGTGATGGCTCAAGTAGCTGGCTTCCCAGAACCCACGTGGGACACCTGGACTGAACTCTCGCCCCTGGCTTTGGCCCAGTCCAGTGCCAGTCACTGCAGGCATTTGGGGAGTAAGTCATTTGATGGGAGTTCTCTTTCTGATCGTTTCTGTCTCTTGACCTCTCAAATAAATAAGAAACAAAACATTTTAAAAATTATTCTTAATGCTACTAGTCCATCATGTGCTATATGCTCACTTACTCAACCATTTCCTTTTTGTTAAATACTTAATTTGCTACTTTAAAAAGCTCCCTATTGATAATGACTGTAGCACACACCCCTTGGCATCTGACACCTTTCTCCACATCTTGCTTTTCAGTAGAGAGCCCATGGTTGCCCTTGGCCTGGTCCCCAGAGGCTGGCCTCTACCTGCCCGGCCAGCTCATCCAGCCAGGCCTACTTCAGCCATATTTACTACACCTGCATGGTTTAATTTTTGCTGTCCTTTCACTAGGAACACTTTTTTCCCCCTTCTACTTATCTAAATCCTATTGTGGGGTGGTGAGAGGCGGGGAGCACCTGGCCTTGTGGTTAAGATGTTCACACCCACCTCTGAGTGCCTGGGTTTGATTCTGGCCTCTGGCTCCTGACTCCAGCTTCCTGCCAAGCTGAAGTGATGGCTCAAGCTATTGGGTTCCTGCACCCACATGGGAGACGTGAATTGAGTTCCTGACTCCCAGCTTTGGCCGGCTGAGTGTCAGCCATTGTGGATGTCTGGAGAGTGAACCAGTGAATGGGAACTCTGTCTCTCAAATAAATAATTTTCTTTTCTTTTTTTTTTAAAGTTACTAAGGGCCGGTGCTGTGGCGCAGTAGATTAATCCTCTGTCTGCAGTGCTGGCATCCCATATGGGTGCTGGGTTCTAGTCCCGGTTGCTCTTCTTCCAGGCCAGCTCTCTGCTGTGGCCTGAGAGGGCAGTGGAGGATGGCCCAAGTGCTTGGCCCCTGCACCCGCATGGGAGACCTGGAAGAAACTCCTGGCTCCTGGCTCTGGATTGGTGCAGCTCCGGCCATTGCAGCCATCTGAGGAGTGAACCAGCAGATGGAAGACCTTTATCTTTGTCTCTCCCTCTCACTGTCTGTAACTCTACCTCTCAAATTAAGAAAAAAATAAAGGTTACTAACAAAAATTTATTTTAATTACTGACAAAAATTCTCTCCAGTTTTCAAAGTCCATGTCCCTTAAACAGCTCCATGGAAACAGCCTATTAAAAAGAAGATTAGAATAAAAAATGAATGTGACATTTTAGGTTTTCTCTACATAATTCTGAATCTATTTAGCATTTATCATGAACATTTCCTCTAATATTAAATACTCCTGTAGACATTTCAATGACCAAAGAATTTTCCATGATGTAAGGTGGACCATAATTATCTTCCTGTTTTGAACCCTTAATTATTTCTGGGTTTTCACCTTAATAAAATTATAATGAATATCTTTGTGCAAAAAGCCATATCTTGGATTGTTTCTTTGGGCTAGGTTCCTAGAAATGAAATTACTGTGGCAAAGGGCACCGAATTGTAAAGGCACTTAATGTTCATCCAGAAAAAAGTGCATTCCAGAAAAAAGCCCATATTCCTGGGTCCCCGCCAGCACTGACCACTCTGAGTAAACATGTGCTTCATTCACTGCAACCACTTTCTCTCAGACCCCTGGGAACAAACGCCTTTGTGGACACAGAGGTGAGCCCACAGGAAGAGGACAAGCAGAAGGGAACTGGGGTGCCCTCCACCGGTGCCAGCAGTCAGCTCCCTCCCTGGGCCCTCAGGGCAAGGCCCCTCCCCACCCTGCTGCTGAAGGTCACTCATCAAGGCCACTTCCTCAGCCAGGTGCTGGGCTCCCTCAGCCCTCCACACACCTCTGGAACGCCCACTCCTCACCCAGCAGGTCTCCTTCGGCCCGCCCTCGGCCTCTGTCCTATGTCTGTCACAAAGCTGCTGCTGCTTTTTTTTTTTTTTTTTTTAAAGAGAACCACCATTTCTATCTCAACTTCAAAAAAAGTTGACATTGGAATATAATGCCACCCATGAGCTTCCTGACCCCCGGGCCCTCTGCTTCCGGCTTCCTTCCCCAGTGCCCGCATCCCTGTAAAAGGGGTTGGTCCCACGCAGGGAGCAGGTTCTGAGGCAGGCAGCCTCTCTCCCCGGGGTCTTAGCTTCCACACTTCAGACACCCTTGGATGTCTTTGGGTCCCTTCGCAGGACAACAGCTTTACAGACAGAAAATAAAACACAGAGTAAGCACAGCATTTCAAAAACAAACTCATTTGCTTACTGGAATGTTCTGCTTTTTCTACAATGGTTACTATACATGAGTTTAACTGGTAAGAAACACAACCAGCACAGGGCTGAGCTTCTAGAAGGGAATAGTATTTGCCAGGATGGGAACTACCTGTAATTTCTAACTCTTCTACCGGCAACAGAAACCTCCCAGAAGCTTCCAAATAATTCTACCCCTGGACAAGTCAGTGTTCCACCTCCCCCAGGGAAGTGAGGCTTAGTTATAAGGAGCCACTCTGCCACCATGTGGCTGTGTCTGGGAACTGCAGCATCCCCACCACCACCCCAAACCCCTCCAATGAATGGAGCAGAAACTGAATGACAGCGGCTGGGGGACAAAGGTGTTACTCGCAGGTCAGGAGTAACCTAGGGGTAGAGCAGAGGCACTCCTGGGGCAGGGATGGCTGGTGGTGACTGGCTACAAAGCCAGTTCGTGGGAACATTAAGCATGACATGCAGTCAGAGGAAACACTAGCTGGGAGAAGACAGCTTGTAGGGTAGGCATCAAGCAGCGGTTCCTAATTAATGCAAAGGGACAATGGCCTTCCACAGAAGGGCCTGGCACCGGGACCTGCAGGAAACCCTCACGCTGCAAAGGAAAAGGAAAGGCAACAGGGGAGGAATCTAAGCCTTGTGTGAGGAGTGGGGAAAAAACCCAAACAAACAAACAAAAAAATAAGTTGAGGGGCAAAAGGAAAGAAGCAATATTACATAATAAGCAAAGAGACTTTACTTTTTAAAAATTATTTTTGAAAGACAGAGGGAGAGAGAGATCGACCTTCCATCAGCTGTTTCACTCCCCAAATGCCTGCAACAGCCAGGGCTGGGCCAGGCCAAAGCCAGAAGCCCGGAGCACCATTCGGATCTCCTACATAGGTGGCAGGGACCCAGAACTCGAGCCATCATCTGTTGCCTCCCAGGGTGAACATCAGCAGCAAGCTGGACTGGAAGCAGAGTTGGGACTCGATCCCAGGCACTCCAACATGGAATACAGGGGAAACAATCAGTGTCTTGGGCCATTTTCTACTGCTTTCCCAGGGCACAACAGAGAGCTGGATCAGAAGTGGAGCAGCCGGGACTTGAACCGGTGCCCATGTGGGATGCTGGCACTGCAGGTGGTGGCTTTACCCGCTGTTCAACAGCGCCAGCCCCCCAATCAGTGTCTTAACCACTGCACCACAACACCTACTCCAAGACTTTTCTTTAAGTAAGGAAAAGGTACACGGGAACCTCATTAGAGCATGCTCTGGGCTAGAAATGAGGGGCAGGGGAGAACTCAGGGATTCTTAGAGGGGAAGTGACCATCGATTGAGCACCTGTTACAGGCCAGGTGGGGCTCTAATGCTTTACACATAACTTGGATTCATTCACTGAATCCTCACATCAACTCATGAGATGCATATTATTAAATCCATCCTACAGATGAGGAAATTGAGGGACACAGGGTAAGGAACTCGTCTAAGATCACAGAACAGTCTGGGCTGGGAGTGGAACCCAAATAATCTGGGCCAACCCAATAATCGATGCATATAACCACAATCCTCTATGAAAGTACTTCAAACAGCGTGTGGAAAATGGAATTACAAAATGAAATTTAATTTGGTGCAAAAAAGACACTGAAATCCATGCATAGATTTTTCATAGTACACACTGTCCATGAACTGTCTGAAGGCCCTGGAGGGAGAAGAGAAGCAGGGGCCTAGAGCAGAGGAATAAAGGAGTCAGAGAAGAGGCACTCTGAAGGAGCGGATTAATTTTACCTGGAGCCAAGGGCAGTGCAACCAAGGACAGGCGAGTAATCATTAACAGCAAAAGGCCGTATCAAACACTTGCTATTAAATGAGACTCTTACAGGGAGTCACTGCGCAATGC